ATGTTCATTATTCCAAATCTGAGTTCTGACTCTATAAATTGTCATAGATACTAAGGCAGGCTACTCTGGATAAAGTGCATTGATCTAGATATTTCGGATAGAAAGACCAAATTGAGCATATGCACATGCTTAAATCGTATTATTAAGGGAGTTTTGCGATTATTGTATACCAATATTAGTTTAATTTGCAATCAGAGTACATTTTTAGTTATGAATTGACTTTATCCACTATTCAGAATTATAATGAAAATGTGAAAAATAGTTTTACTATAGATATGGATGAAAAAGCTATAACAGTGGAAATAAAATTTCATTTATGATTATTTATTTATTTTTATAGTTGTTTTCTGCATAAAGGTTGCCATTCTACATAAAGAATTTATTTTAGAGTTTGTTGGAATAGGAAGTTTGTCAAAGGACTATTCATCTGCTAGTTCTGTTTATACCTCTACAGTATGCTTGAATCTTAGGTCACAGCAAAATTTGCAATAACATGCAAATAGTGATTCTATAAATAATTTTATTTTAGATGAATTGCACTGGGTATTGTCAGGCTTATGCAACTCTTTGGTTACCCTAAACTGGACCTTAGGCCTAGGATACAATGAAATATAGCCAGCCAAACCGACTTAATTCTGGACAATTCCCTATCTGTCTTGCTTATGTTGTATCATTGCTCGTTTTTATATGGCAGCATGTTTTCAGCAAAAGCTTGGCTCCCGCTATGGCGCTCGCTTTCCTTCAGATTGCCAAGTGTACGCTAAAAGGCAGTTTTGATAAAGCAAATTATTTAAGCTTTCCATTCAACTCAAGTTATATGGAAACTTAAACTATTTAAAAATGTCTAATTAATTTGTAAAACTATTCTGTTTACTTATTCTGAAGATATTTCCATGACTTCATTTTGATTTTAGAGTTCTGAACCAAAGGACATTATTAATTTAGGCATTTATCTCTTTTAGTTCTTTTTAGCTATCATAAATTCATATAATGTAGGTGGACCTCTAGATGCCACCAAAATTGATTTTCCAGTAATTTTATGAGAAATATGTCTTTTATCACAGAATCTTTACTATATTGCAGGTTGCCAGCATCAATTATAAAGAAAAACTAATTTTTTGTCAACACCTGTATTTTAAATACCTTCAAAACTTTGCTTCCAATGAAGAGCCTAATAATATTTTATGTGGTCCGATCTCGTTTTCCCATCTTAGTTGTTTTGTCAGGAGAATTAGTTGTACTCGAATTGCCCGATGTTCTCTGCTATGGTATTTACCATGATTAGCAGCGTTTGAGTGTGAAAATAGTACATTCCCAGACGCTTCGCCGGCATCGAGGCCGGCATATTCGGTTAGTCTTGCCAGTCTCTGCATTAAGCTATAACTTGTCAAAGAGATAATTGAATTCGATTCCTTGACAAGCTTTCTGCCAAACAGTTACACTATCACTCCTTTTTGAGTTCTGGCTCATCTATCTACTTCCTCTCTCCTATCTCTTTTTTGTCCTATCACAACTACTAAATTATTTATATTCTATTGTTTTATAAATGTGGCCATTTTGGCGTGATTAGTGTGGCGCCATCATGTCTGTTGTTTACCTTCTCCTCCATGCTCTCTATTTGCTCATTTGACCTAGACCCTCTATCCTGATCTCCATTATGGGCAGGTAGATCCTTTTCTTATCTTTCTAGTCGATTGATTTCACTAAATTCCTGTTCAAAGATACATTTTATTTGAGGCGCTATCTTTCAAGCCTATAGTAGCATTCACTTTTTCTCCTCACCGAGCAGAGCATCTAGACCCTGAGTCCCATTCTTGCAGATATCAGGTCATACCTCGACTAGTCATCCCCCTGATTCAATCCGTGTACCCAGAGCTCTCATATCATTTGGCAAACGTATACATGAACGAATAAAATGAGTACTTATAGATGCTCCGCAGCAATCTAGAGTGTTCCTGATGTACCTGGACGACTACTTCCCAAATTAATCTCATGAAAAAGTAAAATTGGAAGATTTCCTGAAGTTAATCAGATTGATTAGAGAAATAAATTAAAAATTAAAGTAGAGCAAGAGTAGCCGCTATCTTTTATGGATGTTTAAGTAATTCTATCTAATGGGACGCTCAGGAATAATACTCAATTTTCCGTACGATCACAAGAGACAGGCTAAATATAGCAATATTGAGGATTATAATCATCAGAAGACTACTTTTAACGGAAGAAGTATTCTGGAATGCAGAATTAGCCAAGTTAAATATGATATCCCTTGGTAACGGATATCCGAGAAAGGTAATAAAAAGAAATATACAGGTCATGAAAAGCCAATGGCAGAACAGAGATTATAAAACAAATGTCGGAGAAAGATTAAAAAAAGGGAATATGCCCACATCCCTGCGAACTAATTAAAAAACGACAGCCAATATTAAGAAAATGGAATATTCAGGTGACCACGAAGAAAAAAATAACACTATTCACAAGTTTACCCATGCAACCTGAGAGAGTAGCAAATTGGATTACTCTAGAGCTTACTGCACAACATGCGGGGTCTGCCAACGTAAATACATTTGCTAAATGGGAGAGAATATCAAAGTCTCTTTAAGAAAATGAATAAGGCAAGATCAGATATAGCTGAACACAAGAGCGCTTGAAAAGTAACAGAAAAAATGGCCTCATATGGTAAAATTACAACGAAACGGAAGATTTGTGCAGCCATTGACATTATTTGGGAAATAGATTTAATGAACAGATGATTGTAAGAGAGCAGACTTAGCGATAAATGTTTCTAGTTCCTAAGCAAACTCGGAGAAAACAAGGATACACCAAGACAGCCAAAAATGAGATTACTGGATCAAAGATCTATCGTTAACAGGAGAAAAAGAGATTTCAAGGAATAAGTGTGTGTGGAACATTCGGAAATCAAGCGAACACGTTCTTGGTGGGTGTAGTCTGTTCTAAAAAAGAACTACAACTTTGAGTGCCTGATGATCACAAGACTAGGAAGACAGATTATCAAAGGTGACTAAAAAATTCGGAATTATGACCAGGTTGACTAGAATTTTGCTTGAGGTACGGCAAGGATCCTTATAATTTGGGCACATGGGTATAATCAAGGAGAAGATCCATGGTTGCAATGCCTGATATCTGCAGGCATGAGAGAAAAACCTAAGACGCTCTGCTCGATAAAGCGTAAGTTTACATGTTACTAATGACTTGAGAAATAGCGCCTGAAGTGAAATGTATACTTGGACGGAAGCCAAGTGAAATCAGTCAACTATAAAAATAAGAAACGGATCTAAGTGACCATGATCAAGATCCGCATAGGATACCGTTCCACAAGCTATCCAGGCCTACCCATGACTCTCTTAATTGAAAGTTTTGGAGGAATAATTATCTATTGTATGTAATGAGTTATTCAATCTTATCAGCTAATCTATATATCTTTATCTAATGGCGAATGCTTATGGAGCCGAGGTTTACTTGCTAATAAATGTATATATTGTGACATCTTAGTGTAATGCTATTTCCTTAATTTATTAGAATTAATTCTTCATTTACGATTAACATCCTATTTAACGCAAATAAACGAAGATAATTGCTTGGAATCACTAAAGTGCATTAATAGTCAACTCCGAGAACTAAAAAAAATAAGTAATTTATATATCGCAGAGTCTTCAAAATATCAAATTAGTGTTTAGGCAATAGCAACTATTTAATATTTCCATAAAGTCTTTATAGAGTTTCGATTAGAACTGATTCAATAAGGCAATCAGTAATAAGATTACAATGATAATAATGTTAATGAAAAAGAAAGCGTTGCTATTAAAAATAATTTATTTTCAAGCCTTACCCATGTTTCGTGAGTTTTTTCTCAAGTTTATGATCTTAGATCAACTTATAAATAAATTAATCTGCCAAAAATAATTCATTTTTTCAATATATTTACAAATATTCACCACTAAGGAATTATTTTGATTTTAAAATAGTTATGTTGGGCTTTCTACAAAAGTAAATATAATGAATCAAATATAACGTATTAATGAGCTTTTATTCTTCTATTGTTAGGAGAATTGAACGCAAATGAATGTGGATATAAATATATTCAATTATATTTTTCTATACAACCCATATATATATAGGTTTCAGTGTCAATGAAAAAATGTAGGTTTAATACAGATATTTCAATTTGTCATAAGCATAAATGCGTCACTATTATGAAGAACAATAACGAATCAAGGAATATTAAAGTCTCCTCAGAAAAATGAATAAGGAAAGATCAGATATAGCTGAACACATCTCACATACTGGACACAAGAGCGATTGAAAAGCAACAGAAATAATAACCTCACATGGTGGAGGCACAAGGAAACGGAAGATTAGGGCAGCAATGACATTATTTGGGTAATAAATTTAATGAGCAGAGGATGGTAGGAGAGCAGACTTAGTGATCAAGTGGCCTAGTTCCTAAGCCAACTTGGAGAAAACAAGGATATGTTAAGACAGACAAAAAGTAGATTACGATGTAACGATTTGTTTGAAGATAATAGAATTAGAAATAGAGTTTTAAAAAGCCCTGTCTTAATTCGTATCAAGTTTTCGTTAGTAAGCTGGAATAACTTGTAGTAAACGAAAGTTTCAAGTAGCATAGTTAAAAAAGCCTTATTAATATTTCAAATTATTTTTACAATATGGATAAAGTCTATCTTTACCAGGCTTATTTGTACTTTTACTTTTATTACGTAATAATTAGGAAGATAAATAAGTTATATAACTGCAAAAGGTTTTTATGCGCAGAATTCTATTTATCAATTTATTTTGCAGCTGTTGTATCTTTAAATATATCTAATTTAAGCTAGTGGATAGAAGGTTTAAGTATTAGCAAATATCTTTGAATTCAATGTCTGATATATAATCCAGCAATATTATTCGTGTTTAATTTAGTATAGATATAAATCTTTAATCTGTTATGCATATATATATCAATGTGTATCTAATTCAGATCAATGGTTTTTCCTAACTATCAATATCAAGTACAATAAAAATGAGCTAAATACTATTTGGCCAAGAAGGTAATGGAATAACCTCAATGAGGTATTAGGTGTGATCTATGCATAAAACATCAAATCTCTGAAATTATTCACATTTTTATAACTTTGAATCAACTATAATTTTATTAACTGAATACCTTTATTATATTCTGTTTTTATAATATATTTTTGTATTTTATTTATCAAAGATACAAGTTATCCCTGTCAATGACAATCCACCTGTTTTCATTCGCCCAGTTGTTGCTCTCCAAGTTAAATTCAATTCTACCACCCTAGTACCATTTAATTGGCTGGCAATAGAAGATCCTGATTTACTTCTGGATAACTCGAATGATAGTAGATTATTAGCAGATGCCCACAAATCTAAAGAATCAAATAAAGGCAACGCTACCTTCACGACATTGTCAGAATATGCTGCTAAGCGACTAGCGATTTCATGGCAGGACTGGACTCCGATTATGAAAAATAGTTTTGGCGCATCAGAAGGGTTCTGCTGTGGCGAATTTTGGGGTAAAGTCTCTGAAAGTTCAGGTTATCCCTTTGAAGATGCCGACCTGGCTGGCCTCATCATCGGCCATTTTGTTTCAATGAAAACTGGCCGCAAATTGACTATTTTTACGCTTGCCGATGTGGCTGCTGGCCGTATTGGATTTCACCACGAAGTTAGCCATTTGCCTCCACATTTTTCGAAATTCTATAATCAGGCCAGAGTAGAAACAAACCTAAGCAGATATTATGACGCACCAGCCAAAATTTCGCATTCAGACCGTCGTTTTTGGACACCCCATGGCTGCCTCCGCTTGACAATTTCAGACGGTGTTTTCAGCGTGAGTCGAATGGTTATCGTGAACGTGACAAAACCAATGTTTGTGGTGTTGCCTCAACGAGTTCCAATAGATGCCAGATCAGGAAAAGGCGCTCTTGTGACATTTGAGGTAACATTATATTAAGGAAAACCTCTAATACATTCGAATTATTAAACATATTGCTTTTGAATAGTTATTGTCTCACCGAGCATATTTTACTATACATTATTATAAATTATATATAAAAGGTAATCTAAGTACTGATACTTGGGACTTTTCATAATGAGATTAGTGGTCCTTGTGGTAAAATGCAATTAACCGCCCTTGAATCACCTTGACCGACCTAAGCTGGCTAAGTTCTTATTCAAGTATTTCTTATAGTCTGACCATTGGTAATATCGAAAAAGAATAATTTTATTCTCTTAGTACTTTGCATCATTTGTTCTGTCACTTGGTAATCATAGGAAATATATTTCTCTCTAACGTGAAGTTTTACATATAGTGAATTTTTATTTATGAATTTACTTTTTCAATGGAACCTTAGGAAATTTGTTAAGGCAAGTTTCTGTCGAATAAAAAAAAATTTAATTGAAACAGCGGAAACTATAAAAGTAAAATGGCTATCTTGATATTTTACATAAAGTTGATGTTTCCCTTGGAATTACATACAAAATAACAACTAATTCTAATAAAAATCTTCCAGTCTAAATTATAAAATATGATAATCCATAATGAAATTCTCAGCTTAATCATCATTTTCGTTTACTTTTAGTGTAAATGATAGCAAAATCTTATAAAAGCTGAACGAATGCTAAAAGGGCCTTCGTATGCTGCAAATAAAAATGTATAAAAATGCTTCAAATAAATTATTTAAAGCTATAGTTTCATTAGACAATATTTTTACTCCATTATAAGTTTACTCTTGATATAATGAGGGTTTAAGGGAACTGAAATGTTTCGATTTTTGAACGAATACAATGAATAAAGTATTGTTTAAACTAAATATGTTTATTTCGATGTATTTTAAACTCTATTACGTCATACTATTTATTTGGTTACTGATCCTTGTGATATATATATATGATGCCAGGGCACCTTTGAATATGATCTGTCTATAATACAATATATCATTCCATAAAAAATATTTGTATACTTTATTTAGAGCTTTATTTTTAATAAACATTGCTTAGAAGGAATGAGCAAATTTGTCTTAATTGAAGTCTAAAAAGCGCTTACTTTTTGGTTGTTTCTATATATTTGTAAAATATATATCACTATTTATGTAATACCTCTTAAATAGATGAAACTTTAAGGTTTATTTGATATACATGGGCTATAATTCATAGGTATATCTATATTCTTGAAATGTTTGCTCATTGCGATGTTTTATTATTACCAGGCAATCCTATAATATTTCTTTTCTAAATACATTACAATTTCAGTTGTAACCATTTTTTAAAAGCGTAAAAGCTATTCGTATTTTTCTAGAATGCCTTAAGCATTATTAAAATTTTTTGATAAATATAATTTTGATCTTCCTTTGCTTTTAAGATACACATTTTAATAGATCGAAATAAAGTTGTAGCTCAGTAAAATCATTAATTCAAATTATAATTCCATAATAATTAGTAAAAATCTTTAAGTATTTAGTACCTTATTTTTTAAGCCCTGAGTTATCATGCCCTATGTTACTTATTTAATAGATAATTTTATCTTATATATGCTTTATATCAGGTCATTACAAACATGAATGTGGATCCAACCCGGTTTAAAATTGAACTTATTCATCCACCTTTATATGGTATATTGTATCTTGCTAGCAATGATGAATTTACTCAAGAACCATGGGCGGTGAAACGTCTTGGATCTGAAAACTCCCATGTAAGTCTTGATGATGCGTCAGTGGATCTTGAGCTAAACACAAAATGTGGACCTTCAATTACGAGCTTGAACTTTGGAGAGGTGTTAAATCGACGGTTGAGATACTGTCAGACGCTATCAAGTAATGAATTGATTGCACTTCGATATCCAGAATTTCTAAAGGCAAGTTTAGCAAATAGCAAATATTAGTTATAAATATAATATAATTTTATTAGGTAAGTACCAGAATTCTTGTTTAAAATCTAACAATCACAGCAAAACATATTTAGAAATATATATTTCAGCATGCAAAATTAACATGAAAAATGTTATGTTTTAACTATTTGTCTAATAAGTTTAGAAATTAACTAAAATAAACGCTATTTTATATTAGCTCGTTAGTTTAACATTAGCGAGTTTATGCTTTATATATAATATAGTAAGAAATATTTAATTTAATATTACTAAATATCTTCAAAATCATTTAGTTTGAGTTTTACTATCCTAAACCGGCAAAA